TACATGGTTTAATAATTTTTTGTTATTAAAATTGAAGTTCCTGTTTCAAAGCTTACAGATAGATGGCTAATTTGTATGTCATTGACACTTTTGGCACTTTTTTGGAGTATTTTCATAAGTTTTGTTTTTTCCTGTAAATGATTCAATAAATACCGTACCGTGACATTCATACCGAGGTATTACTGTACCGTGAAATTCTGATACCGTTACATCCCTAATATATATATATATATATATATATATATATATATATATATATATATATATATATATATAAACTTATGCAATCTACACTCCTAAATAAAAGTACAAAATGGGGTGGTTCTCACTAAAGGGATCATAGAGAACATTTATTAACATTGGCTTTTTAGATACAAACGCATACTATTTTAGGGTACCGACCCAGCTTTACAATTTGTGTATGATAATAGACAAACGATATTCGACTGTTTGTTTATTTGTTTGTGTTTTAAAGAAATAATAATTTATGCAGACATGCACATGTTTTGATCGCTACAGTGATTTGATGCTTCACAAAAGTTGCAGACGCCTTTACCGACATCAAAATGCTTTTTTGATGCAAAATTAATTAAAATTCACCGATTTAGAGACTTGAATAGGCCTATAGGCTACTATAATAAAGAAAATCTGCTATAAAATGTTGAACTAAATAAAAACTGCTAAAATATTATTGACGCATGAAAGATCCTGCAGCTTAAACAAATATTTTAGTTAGTGTAAACAGTTATTGCGTATCATATTTAACAAACCATTTCCTACGACTTTTATGTAATTTTGCTCACGTGGATAATTGAATATTCATTAGATGATGTCATTACACTGCTGTGCCGTCAGCCAATCACTGTATTGCATGATTGTCAGAGTGTGCAATTATTTTGGAAAGATGGAAATTATTTGGAAATAATATGTTGATAACATTGAATGCAAAAGAAATTATTTGTTATTTTGAAAATGGCGATAAACAAATTAACAATTTTGTTAATTTGATCATTTTAAATGGTAAATTCTTCATCCACAAATGTCGACTTTCAAAATCTCCTCCTTTATAAAAGATATTTCTCAACGAAATTATTCTGTTAATGAAGTCTCTCAAAGCTGTAAAAAATGTAAAAGCTCTGTCTATTGTAAGCTATTATGAACCTGTTGTCTTGTGAATGTCTTCCTTTTGTTTTTGTTTTTTTATTTTTTTTTTAATTATCTTTGGAATTTTTGTTTGTTGCCTGTTTTTGCTGTATTTGTAAATTACTAATGCATAATAAAATAAATAAATAAATAAAATAAAAAAAATCACTGTATTGCTGCTCATGATTTGGAGGATCGATAGAGGAGTCCTTCACACGCAGCGATCTCAGATTTCTGATTGAAGTTGTTAGAAGAACCAAATCACCCAGAGATCAGTTATCAATTTAATAGATCCAGGATCTGCCAAACCATCTTAGATCATTTAAGCCAGGTATGAAGAACAAACCTCTGGTTGTTTTTTTGGGGACACAAAAGGCTCAGATTTTATGAAATGATTCTTACATCAATTACAAACAATAACAGAAGCATAAATGTGAAGATATCTGGATGAAAAAAATACTGAAAACGAGCTTGAACCTGTGGCTTCCCTCGCGTTTGGTAACTTATCAGTGACAGGGAATCATATATAAACAAAGCTTACAGACTCAACTCAATACACCTTCTCCATAAACACAAGCTTCACATCATACACACTGCTCACGCGTTTTATTTATCGTTAACGTTCATTGTAGCACGATATTTTATATACATCACAGCAAACAGACCAATATTAAACTCTTTAGACGGAGCTTCAGTGTAAATCACTCACCTTTCTGCAGGCTGGCTTACCGCGGCGCGAACTGAAGCAACCGGAAACAGAAAGCCGCTCTTAAAGGAGCCGCGTACCTTTTTTGACACACAAGACACTTATAAAAACAAACATGTAACTATGGAAACATGACATCGCCATATTTCAAATTAACAATAACATGTTAATTCATAGCATATGACGTACATAGTAACTGAGTGAATTTTGAGTGAAATTCGTAAGCCCCTTTCACAGAGGCTGTTTCTCAATTTCAAGTACGCCAAGTTCGGACTTGCAAAATTTAGGAGAGGGTGCTCGCTGCAGAGCCATTTGAGGAGAGGTGAGCTCCAGAGAGGGGGAGCATGAGCTGTCACTCCTCCTCCTGTAAGCTGTTTTAATGCATACACCAACCCCACCCCTAACCCTACCCCCAGTGACATCACTCGTAGAAGAAGTGCAAAAAAGGTGAAGCTGAAGCTTAAGCTAGTGGTGGGCAAAGCGAGGCCTCCTGAAACACTGAAACTATCGAAGCAAATGTGTCGAAGCTTCGAAACGTTTCGAAACACCACTCTACGGTGACACCTAGTGGTCATTTTATTTTTATTTCACTGAAACAGCTTCAGCAAAGAACAGTTGAGCAAATTGAGGTATGAAAGCCCACTTTGTACCTTAGATTCAACAAATGGTTTAGTCGAGCGGTTAGAGTTCGTGACCATCATACGGTAACAATTGGATTCGAATCCAAACTGATACAGCTATTTTGAAATGCTTTAATACCAGTTGGTATTGCTTTGGTATTGTATCGTTTTGTTTCAACATTGCTCTGACATACGAATAAACACCTTGTAAATAAATGTGTATTGTTTTGTTCATATAACAGGGTTGTTGCTAGATCAGATACAGTTGTGGCCAGAAGTTAAAAATAATTATTTATATTATTAATAAAATTTCCCATTGTATTTTATTAACGTCTATCCAAAACCTAAACCCATCACAGTACTGTAAAAATATTAATTATTGTTTTACAGTGTTACAAAAATGATGCTAAATTGATGGCATATCCGCAGCTGTATCCTATCTAGACTACACCATACAAAAAAAAGTAACATGATTAAAAGACATAAAATCATGATTTTGGAGTATTTGGACTAGTCGGGATTCGAACCCAAAATAAATTTTAAGCACAGTTCCAATATGCACACGTACGGTCCACTTCTCCGGGTCTTGAAACGCCTCTGAAATGATCAATGCTTTGAATCGCTTTAATCACGTGACCAAGTGTTTCGAAACACTTTAGTCACGTGACCTGGGTGTTTCGGATCATGCTTCGGTGCAGTGTTTCGAAACACTTGCGCTTCGGGATCTCGACACTGTGTCGAAACGTCAGTTTCACGTCAGCCATCCTTAGCTTAAGCTCAGCTCTCCTCAAATGGCTCTGCAGCGAGCACCACTTGAAATTTAGACTTGGAAAAACGAACTACAGAGGACGCGAGCACACAAGTCAGGTACTTCTTCAAATGGAACAGCAGTTTACTTAATAACGTCACTTAACTCTCTATGGATTAATTGGTTTCCCTGCTGAAGAAATCCAGCTTAAACCAGCCTAGGATGGTTGGCTGGTTTAAGCTGGTCGACCACCCTGGTTTCGGAGGGGTTTTGGCCACTTCCAGGCTGGTTTCCAGGCATTTCCAGCCTGGTCTTAGCTGGTCAGGCTGGAAAGTGACTAGCTAAAACCATCTAAAACCAGCTTGACCATCCTGGTTTAAGCTGGACATAGCTGGTTTTGGCTGGGCTCCCAGCCAGGCTAGTCAAGCTTGTCATCTCCCAGTCATATGTGAGTTTGCATGTTCTCCCCGTGTTGGCGTGGGTCCAAACACGTGTGCTATAGGGAAACTGGGTAGGCTAAATTGCCTGTAGTTTATGTATGTGAATGGTATGTGATTGGTTGCAGCTGGATAAGTTGGCGGTTCATTCCACTGTGGCAACCCCGGATTAATAAAGGGACTAAGCAGAAAAGAAAATGAATGAATGAGTGAAAAAGTAATGAGTTAGCTCAACTATTTAAAAAAGCAATCCGATTATGTAATTTATGTTATGAGAGTGTGACGAGTCTCATCTGCGGAATTGGCTTGTGGAGAGCCGTGCTTTTGCTCCTGTTTGTTTTGTTTCTTCCTAGCACTTTGCTAACCTCAGTTGAGCAGTTGTTTATTCTTTAATGTTTCAATAAATATTTTTCGGCAGCAAATATCCCGGACGAGCCCCCATATTTTTCACAACCCGGCTTAAAGGCCATAACAAAGTAAAGGGAGCACATAAACAGGATGGCTTGGTGCCGAAAAATATTTATTTAAACATTAAAGAACAAACAAGTGCTCAATTGAGGCCAGCAAACTTAAAATATTAACCAAAGGTAGAAAGAAACAAAACAAACAGGTGAAAAAGCACGGCCCTCCACAAGCCAACACTGCTGGCGTTTTATAGAGGACCAGCGCTGCGTTAAAAACCGCATACTTCAATACTATACAGTACGCTAAAAACAGTATGCACAAAAAAAAAGACGGTATTGGATAGTTATTTTAAATTACTATAGCAGTGTTACCATAGCAACTATAGAACTGTCATAACATAGAAAATTGCACAGTATTGGATAGTTGATTCATAATACTACAGTTGTGTTACCATAGCAACTATAGAATTCCCACAACATTAAAAAACGGTATTGGGCAGTTTATATTACTATAGAAGTGTTTACCATAGCAACTATAAAATTACTCCAACATAGAAAACTGTAGTGTTGGGGAATTAGTTTATATTATGATAGCTGTGTTGCCATAGCGACTACATAACTACCACAACATGAAAAATTGTACAGTATTGGGTAATTAGTTTATATTACTATAGCAACGTCACCATAGCAACTATAAACTTACCACAACAAAGAATACAAATACAATACACAGCTGTGTTACAATTGCAACTACAGAACTACAGCAACATAGAAAACAGTAGTTTTGGGTAATTCGTTTATATTACTATAGTAGCCTTACCATAGCAACTATAAAATTAGCACAGCATAGAAAATTGTACGGTATTGAGTAATTAGTTTATATTACTATAGCTGCATTACTAAAGCAACTATAGCATTGCAACAATTCGTTCAAGTATTTAA